CGGTTTGCTGCTCCTGTATTATTGTTTAAATAATGGTTTGAAGTGGACTTTGATATGTAAAAGTGGTGCGATTTTGTGTATTAAGTGTCTGCGCATGTGAACTATTAGTGGAAACTGTGAAACGGGTGTTCTGATGGTGATGTGATTCTCAATCTGCTGGATCCAGTTGCCGTCAGAATCTCCCAAGGGCTGCACAATGTGACGCATCAACATATTGTGAAGCAGTATACTATGAAGGATAATTATTATAACAGTGGTAGAGCCACGCGGCAGCTTTTGCTGTCGCACGGATGGGCCGGCTCGAACCGGGGTGGTACCACGACCTCACAGAATACCAGCGTGAAGTAGAGGTTTACCTCTCCGTTTCGCTTGGTGAGTGCCGGAGGCCCTTTTTACTGGAAATGAGGCATTCCATCTTAGTCCTCACGGGTGACAACGCATCTACATTTTGATTTGTAATAGAGGATAGATGTAGATGTCTATGGGCTGCAGCAACCACTTACCATCAGGTGGACTGTGTGCTCGTTTGTCACCCTTATCCTATAAATAAAAAAAAATATTGTAACTTCAGGCTCAGAAGGGCTAGATCCTAGAGCCGTAAAGCCGGTTATTAAGCCCGCTTTTCACTACGGGATATAATATAATATATATTACATCTCGAGATATAAATTTATATCGCTCACCATACATTTTATATGGAACCGTTTACACTGTGCTATAATATATATTACATCTCAAGCCATAAATATTTTTTCGATCGACCGAGCGATATTTTCATTTTATATTTCGCCCCCTGTACCCCGCACACCGTTCCGTGCCCCCGCAGACGGTGTACGGAGTAAAGGGGGGTAATCCAATGACCAATGACGAATGCACACTGGTTAAAAGATATATCTCACAGTGTGAAAGCCAATCGCGGGATATAATTTATATTTCGGAATATAATATATATTATATCCCATAGTGAAAAGGCAGCCTTAAGAAGAAGAAGACATATTTATAGTACGGATGTGAGTGAGATTGAGGGAAAAAGTCGATTAATAAAAAATCGATATGTTGCTTTCGGATATTAATCGATTATGAAAAAAAAAGATTTTTTTTTAATAAAAAAATCGATTATTGCGAAAAAAATATTTTATTCGAAAAAATGCTTGCTTTCCTATATATTAATAAATCTATGAGAGTATAGTATCAACAATTTATCACAATAAAAATCAAATAAAATGATAAGTATAAAACAATCAAAACGATAGTCACGGTTTTAAAAGTAAACTACAGGACATTTTTTTTAACCTATAACTTTAAACAATAAAAAACTAAAAATAATTTCTGCCACAATTGTTCCATTGCCATTTAACAATTTATTAGAACCAGAATAAAAATAAACGATAAATGAAACAAATTTTTATGGATTTTATCGCGTTTAATTTAACTTTATAATTCCCGATGTTTCGGGTGCTTTACAGCACGCATGGTCACAGGGGGACTGAGTTGTTTGACGTCCCTATGTCATAGTTGAACCACAAATCCTCGCAAACGAACACCGAGTCCTACCAAGGATGATTCGCAAGGCTATTGAAATTAAAAGACATCCTAATTTCAATAGAGAAGATGGATGGCTGCCATCTGCTTGGGATCCTATAATTAATAAAATTAAATCCAAACTCAAGCATACTACTGTAAGACGTCAAAATACTGTAAGCTCATTCTGCGTAGATCGGACCAAAAATTAATATTCAAAAATGAAGGTAGCCAGGCTAACTATGACATCGGGACGTCAAACACCTCAGTCCCCTCCCCCCGTGACCATGAGTGCTGTGAAGCACCCGAAACGTCGGAAAATAAAAAGTTAAATTAAGCGTGATAAAATCCATAAAAATAGTTTCATTTAATGTGTAGTCTTCGCGTAAATCTAAGAAATCAATAAAAAACGGTAAGTTTAGTAAACGATATTTTTTTAAACTAAGTTTGAACAAACAAAAGGTCTACATATCATTATGCCACAAATGTTCAGTACCATTTCCATTGGATTAGAATGAAAATAAAATAAAACTATAAATTTAAATAGTCAAACGACAACATTATGGTCTCAAAACTAAAATAAATCTTTTTTAAACTTTAAGTTTAAAGAAAAAAACTATGTATAAATAACTATTGACACTAATGTTCAGTATCATTTACATTGGAAAAGAATGAAAATAGAATAAAAATATAATTATAAATAATCAAACGACAACCTTTTGGTCTCAAAACTAAAATACAACACAACTCTTTTTTTAAACTTGTATAAACAAAAAAAAATGATTGCCATGAATTTTCAGTTAAAGAGTTTAAAAGCAATCATTTCACCAAAATTCTTCTTCGCCTCTTTCCCAAAATACAATTTCGTTTTTTCCTAACACAATTTCCCGCTTTCAAAAATAATATTTCGGCTGACGCGGAACAGGCCATTACAGATAGGTGTTTAAGAGCCAATTCGGTTAGTTTAGGGAAAGTTCCTTCAGAGCTTCTCCATATATTGAGGTCATCTGCCTTGAGATTTGATAGTGGTGCCGCAATATATAGATGCAATTCAGTATTTTTGCCAATTGATGTGTTGGCCGCTATCATTTTTTCATTATAAAATATCCGTCAGTCACTTTTAGGTGTTTTATAAGACATTTACATTGTTTATATATATAATTGTTTACACTAACCAAAGAAAGAAAGAAAACCACAGAATACTTTTACTCCTAGCGGAGGAAGAAAACTGTTGAAAACATACGAAAGGTGAAACTGTTTTACATACATAGAGATACATAAATGTGGCGCCGTCTTTTGATCGACTTGTTCATGTTAGTGAACTTCGCGTTTTTTCATCTGCCGCACAGATGACGCTGTTCTTTTGATTGACTTATTCATGTTATTGAACTTACTTCACGTTTTTACATCCATCACATAGAGGACTCTGATTACAAAAAGCGATTAAAACGCGTAATTTACATAATCGATTAATTAAAAATCGATTTTTATTATAAAAAAAATCTACTTTGAAAAATCGATTATTAGAAAAAAATAATCAATTGATATGAAAATCGATTATTTTTTCACATCCCTAATTTATAGTAGTTTAGTCTTTAGTCTGTGGTCAACACGATCGGGAACGAAAGGAATGAATTTTTTTCTAAAACTAAGTTAAAAAATAAAACGCGTACAAACACATTATTGTGCTTGATTTTATAATTATTATTAATATCTTTTAAATTTAAGTAATATGCTGTAGTGTGTGAAAATTTTCTAAACGAAACTGATAATAAATACTCTACAAAATGGCCAAGTAAGTACACATTAGAATTAGATTCTGTTTGGATTTCTGAAATTTATTCTTATATTATGACTGTCCTTGCGCGAAACAATAATCGGGATAATATTATTAAATATAGATTTAATTCATTAGTAATATTTACAACATTAATTTTACTTGCCGTAACTGCCGTGTTATAAATGTTTCGTTAATTTCATAGAATTGTTCAATAACAAACCGTAAACACCACACTAATCTAATTAAGCAACCTTTTTAGAATAGAATACAATTATTTCTATTCAAATATTAGATTAGTGTTACTACTAATTTTTTTTCATTGGTTTAGGAAACCTTTGCCTTGAAAAGAACCAGCAAGAAAACCATAATGATTAAGATATTGTTTCAAATGATTTACAATACTGTACAATTGAATAATATAAAATTTATTACACATTAGAAACTGTAGGGTAGCGATTACCTCATTCCAAAGATATATATATTTTAATTTTAATATAAATATTTATTACATTATGTATGTAAATAAAGTAATGTTAATAAAATAAATTGAGCATTCAAAATTAAACAAAGAATAAATTAAATTAATACAATTACAGTTTAAACTAATATTATTGTCATTCATGTCTTCTTTAATATCATAATAACATTTTATGTATAGTGTGTATTTAGAAAAAAAAATAATGTTTTGATGAATATAGGTCCTCAATATTTTCTGGTACAGGTTGACTATAGATGTCCAGTACTTGATTTTAATTATGTTTTCAATTTGGGAGGCTTGTAAGGGTTAAGCTTAAATCTTGAACACTGTTTTTGGATGTCGTTTTGAATTAATTACCGATAAAAATAAATTTCAATTTCAATTTGGTTTTTTAGGCTTACACAGGTACTTGCGATTTGCTGTAACCATTGCAGAAGTAACTTTGGGCCAATATTCCTGTGTGGAAAAAGTGAGGTTATGAATTTACAAAAAATATTACTCATAAGCTATACTTTTCTTCTAAGGGGGGAAGAGTAGGGAAGGACTTTTGGTACAACTTTCCATTGACATTTTTGTCAAATTTTTGCACATTATAAAATTTTATGTGATCACATAATTTATTATATAATTTAGGGGCCATTTCAACAACAATTAGTAATAGCATTAACTCAACATCAAAGAGTCAGTAATTTCTTCATTGTAAGAGCATATACATATGTTGTGTACGTAAGTTACGTATTTTTTTTTATAGGATAAGGGTGACAAACGAGCACAGAGTCCACCTGATGGTAAGTGGTCGCTGTGGCCCGTAGTTATCTACATCTATCCTCTATGACAAATTAAAAGCAGATGCGTTGTCATCTGTGAGGACTAAGATGGAATGCTTCGTTTCCAGTAAAAAGGGTCCCCGGTGTTCTACACTAACCATGCGAAACACAGCAGTAAGCTGCTATTTTACGCTGGTGTTCTGTGAGAGCGTGGTCCTTCCTCGGCCGAGCCGACCCATTCGTTCTACAACTATACCAGTAATATTGCTGCAGCATGGCTCTACCACGTAAAAAAATTGAGAATAAATGCAGTTGTTCATGGGTCACAGCATCCTGTTACTATCATGTATACTGTATGCTGGTTTGTCATCCTTTAATCACCATATAAATAAACCAGTAATCATCATTGTAATCAAATCCAATATATGATTTCTTCTTGTTTTGTTGTAGGGAAATGATGATAGTGTTTGTGTATGACACACAATGCTGCGTCACCGAGGAAGATGACCCAGCCGAGGCTGTACTTTACTTCCATCCTGGATGGGTTTCTGACACACAGAGACATGCTTTAGCTGGACAGGTATTCTTTTTTAATATTATTTAAATTTCTTTTATAGAAGAGGAGGCAAACGAGCATGCGGCTCACATGACGCTAAATGTCACCATCGCCCATGAACATCTGCAATACCAGGGGAATCGCAGGTGCTTTGCTGGCCTTTTAAAAAGGAGTAGGCTCTATTCTTGAAGGTCCATAAGTCGTATCGGTCCCTCGCTGGAGACAGTAAATTCCAGTTTCGTCTTACGAGGCAGAAAATTTCGCGTAAATCTCAAAGTAGTGGACCGCGCAGCCATCGAAATATGAGAATGGAATTTCGAGTTCTGTCGCAATTATTAAACTTATATGCGATTTCAGAGTACCTACCTAATGATTAATATTATTATAAATTATCTCTGCGTTTATGTTGTTCAGGGATAATGTAGCTTAGGGGCTTCTTTTGGGCTATCATTTATTTTGAAAAAACCCCCAGCGAAGCGGGCACGGGTCAGCTAGTAGATCCTATAAAGGTTTCTTTTTTCCTTTTGAGGTCGGAACCCTAAAAAGGACAAACTGGGATTATTGTTGTATGTGTAGTTTTTTTTTCGTTCACTCTGAGTAGAGTGAAGCGCTGTATTAGTATATGACAGCGGCCGCGATTGCCCTAACGTCAATCATCATCTAGCTACCAACGCAGAATGAAACACGCCAACGTGTGAACGGCACCACGAAAATCTGCCGAGTGCGCTCGCCAAGCGCGCTCGGCCAACGTGTACTGGAGCCATTAGAATTCGTTGTATGAAATCATATGAAACCTCGCACACTACACCGTACGCGCATAATTTTATAAAATGCGGTAGGTATACGATATCGAAGGACGAATGCTGATGACGTCATATAACGCGGCGCGTGCTGATACTCAGTGTTGACTAATGTTGCCAACTTAGTTTTTCCACTATAACTGGTGGTTTCGATTTACATGATATTTTTTATAACTTTTAATTCATTCGTAATTAATTAGACATAATTTGATTTTTTTTGCATTGATTATCAATATGTATACTTAGTGATAAATTATTTAAATACTCAACTAGCAAAAAAATAGTTAAATTTAATTCAAAAACACTATTATACCTGATAACCTAATTATCAATAATAATACTTACCTCACACATACAACAAGTCTTTTCTCTTTTTTCAATTGGCCTTCTAAATCTTGAGTTTTCCATAGAAAGATATGTTTTAGTACCTATATGTAGCAATTCTTGAAATTTCTTGTATGTTAAATGCAAATATTTAAAAAAATCGTTCATCATCATCTATTAAGTCTTTAAATAAAGTATATCCCCTTCATATTCTCCTACAATTGCCTTTTTAAATTAATATTATGAATCCACAATCTTCTTTTTCTTCGAATTTTATTTTCTTCTCTGCCAATAAGCAGGCTATTACTACATTTATTTCCATAGTGATTTGGAGCGATCAATTTCACTGTACTGTTTCACACCGGTGATTGGAAAAAACAACAAAGTTTATTGGCAATACAAAAGATTTGCGTACGTATGCGTACGGTGCGGACATATGTGCGTTCAGCTTTATAGTGCCTACGTGTATGGGCAAGCAGAAGTTCACTCTCTATTCCATCCGTCTAACAGTTCGACGAGACCGTAATCCGACACGCACTTAGTAGAGATCAGGTGCAGGACCAACAGCTTCATTTGCTTTTTGTAGCCCGGGAGTGAAACACCGTCAACTTCCTTGATCCGGGCTGCTAATGAAAATTTCTTGATAGAAAACGCCAATAACTGATTTTTGTCCCGACTCGGGATTCATAACTGCTGAACATGCGGTCATTAACCGACGTAATATATTAAGATAGTTCTCTTGCAAGCCTCACAACGCGCGAGCGTGTGGTAGTGATCTACTCTCGACATGCCGCTATGTGACGATTTTGCATTATAAAATTGTTAGCATGTCTCAATTTACACACTAAATCAGTAAAAAAGGTATGTTTTGAAAATTAGATATATTAAATTATAAAGTCAGCGTATTTTTTTTTATTCATTTGTTTAATTATATTTACAAAAGATTTAATTAAAAAAATTATTAGTATGGCTGTCAGTTAGTCTATGCACTTGTTTCTCTTCGCGTTTCAGAAAAATATACGCAACGGAATGAAATAAATCTTTCTGAATGAGTTTCCATTTGTCCTCAGGGTCCTCAGGGTCATCCCTATTGCTGTTTGTTATCAGATTCGTAGACGTTTAAAAGATAAAAACACTAATGAGGCATGCACTTTTGGATTTCCAATTCCATTTATTCCATTCATTCCATTTATTTCTATAAATTACAATGTACATGTTTACTGCTGTTCAGTTAATCTATATTTACTTATAGGATACTAGCTGTTCCCCGCGACTTCGCCTGCGTGTTATTAGGGGATTCAATTTTTTTGCGCGGAACCCTAATTCTTTTTCTAAAATAAAAGTAGCCTAAGTTACACCTTATGACATCAGCTATCTGCTAGTGAAAATCCCGTCAAAATCGGTCCAGTCGTTTCGGAGATTAGCCGGAACAAACAGACAGACAGACGGACAGGCAGACAGACAGACAGACAAAATCTTTAAAAATTGTATTTTTGTTATTAGTACCATATATACTTTAATATCCATTTAGTAAAAAGTTGTAATTTTGACATTACAAACAGACACTTCAATTTTATTTATTTGTATAGATAACATTTTGTAAAAATGCATGACTACATTCCTCCTTTCACCATCGGACAACCAGACGCTCGGCCAGTGTCCACCTCTTTGTGAACCCCCCGACGAAAAAGAGGAGTGTTATATGTCAAACGTGTGTGTATGTGTGTCTTTCTGTGGCATTGTAGCTCCCTGACGGAAGAACCGATTTAGATTTTTTTAGTTTGAAAGGTGACTTAATCGAGAGTGTTCTTAGCTATTACTTAAGAAAATCTTTTCAGCCTTTTGATGATCAGCTCTTTTGGTTTCAGGGGTTTTTAAAATTTTCAATTTGAGTTATAGTCGACATACACATGCGAACCTAAAGGCTTGCTAATTAATAAAATAAAGCGTTAATTTTCGCAAATACATTATATTAAAGTTAATAAAATTACCTCGCGTACATCCGCTTGATAAAATAAAATGATGTGGCACCACCCACTCTGCGGTGGCTGAGTGGGTGATGGTGGTGGGAGTCTACATCACCTGAAGATGCCTCGTGTAGAGGCGAAACACGTGTCTTATTGTCGTCAGTTGTGTGTCTTTCCTAGTGTAGTGGTGTTGAGAGTAGTGGTGCTGGGATTAGTGGTGACGGGGATAGTGCACGCAATTGAGGGAGGGCGGGAGATGCTCTTCAAACTAGGTAAGAAACACATTTTAAACATCATTTTATTTTATCGAGCGAATGTACGCGAGGTAATTTTTACCAACTTTAACTAAACGATTGCTTCGTCTTTCGTAATGCTTAGGTACAGCAAAAGAGTGGAATAATTTGCCAGCATCTGTCTTTCCGTCCGTTGGTTTTTTATCACCAACACTCTCCTAAGAGATGTTGTATTTGATATTAGCTACATTAGAGATACAGAAATCTTCTGTTCTCTATGTTACCACAGCTAATAACTATATAATTTTTTCCTTATCTTCATTTAATGAACCTTATTTATTTATTATGAAAATCTAAAATTCCTAAACCTTAAACACAACATAGATATACAAAATTATAATGTATTAATGACATGTTGTGGGACCAGTTTTGTTACATGCATAGATTTAGAATGTCTCGAATTATAATCACGTAGTAGATCCACTCTGTAATGTATTATACTCTCTGTAATATATGCACGAATGGGTCAGCATAAAATAGCAAATTATTGCTTTTTTCAACCGACTTAAAAAAGAAGGAGTTTCTTAATTCGACTGTATTTTTTATGTGTTACTTTTCATGCTTAAATCTCAGTAAATCTATGATTGATTGTATTGTAGAAATATAAGCTACTGCTGGGACTACTGGGGGCGGGGACTAACCCATGACCCTTAAATAGTGGGACTTGGTATCTTTGTATAAACAATTGGCAATCAACTCAAGGTGCCTAATTAAGTTCGGGCTACAGATACGCTTATATTATTTTTAAAATAATCTCTAGTAAGATTAATTTTCCTTTTCCAAAAGTATCCTGATCATGTACCTACACATGATTGTGTAAATCAATGATACGCATAACGATTGTTCCGGGTATATACCACTTTCTTATTTATTTCTGCCGACAAATAGCACTGTTTGCACTGTTGTGACGTGGTCTGGAGAGCATAGAGAGTACAGTTACTGATTGCAACTCTTGATGCTTCACCGCTGCACACGTCCTCACCGAGCCACCGGCTGAAATAATATCTACCCGGCGACCACCTCTTTCCGTCTCAACAATTTGTTCTCACAATTTCCGGCTACGGCCATTCAATGGAAGATTACGTTGATACTTGTCTCCGCCTCGGCCTTGTATATGCCTTTGAAAAACGAGGCATGCTCATCGCGCTTTTGGGTTAGTTTCATATTATGATAGTACGAATAAGAATAACAGAGCAACTTATCGGAACCTAGACATTTAACCTTAATTAAGAATCAAAATGCAGATTACACCCCTGTGGACTAAGATGGAATGCCTCGCTTCCAGTAAAATGAGTCTTCGGTTCTCTACACTCACCATACGAAACACAGCAAAATGAAGCTGTTATTCTAGACTGGTATTCTATGAGAACGTGGTCCTATCCCGGTCGAGCAGACCCATTCATTCTACAACCATAATATATCACGTCACTCTGCCACGTATGCCACAGCTCTCAAGAGGCACGATTTATTTCCGGCTTAGTTGACGAATATCATCACAGCTTTTAGCCATAATATTATGTTCATCTGGGATAATGTAGTTTTCAAACGGTGATAGAATTTTTAAATCAGGTTCAGTGATTCGGGAGATCATCCTCCACATATACACAATTAGCCCTCTCTCTTTTTATAATATCAGTATAGATTTTATAAAATCGTATATATATACGGCTTCTCAAACTATGTTAACACGACAATATAATTATGTCGCGACCTTTCACGATTCAACACGAAACGGTCTGTACATTAAGTACATTAAGGTGCTTTGGGGTAAATACGACATATTTTCTGATTAGTTGATACGATGCATATTTGATAATTATTTTTAAAAAATCTATCTAAGTTCACAACCAACTCAAATGTCACTTTTATTTATTGAAATACATATCCTAATTATTTTGTTATTCATCTTAATAAAATGGCTTTGCGTTGAGTAAATACAATCATTTAAAATTTGACATATTTTCTTCTGGATAAGGTGTAATTCCGATATAGCGCGGGGTAAAATCGAATTTTTTTTAAAGTGATCCTTTTTGACTTTCGACAAAAGGTTTAGATTTACTTTTCGCTCGTCTATACCCCTCTACAAAAAGCATTGATACACACTTTATGTTTCTAATTTAACTATATTTTGCTCACTTGAATTTTCGGAATTACCCCACATAAAGTCCAGTGGCTCTAAACATTTAAGGCACCACCACGGCAGCGCACCTTGCGTTCCCGTAGTTGGACAGTTATTAGGCTAGTTAAAGAGGTTTGTTCAAACTTTTATAACAGGTAAGCGAGAATAAAAAAATATTTTTTACACATTTCTTTATATATTTTTAATGAGTCAAAGTATCCGAAATCGGGATTTTTAAAACCTTTAAAAACTCATAACTGCGAAAATATTACCTTTATCGTAAAACGGCATAGGACCTTCTGTATTTATAATTTACCAAGAAATATAAAAAAAAATATGGTTCATACTTTATTCTTTTTCTTTAAGCATTTCTAATGGGTCAAAAGTGTTGTACATTATGTGCAAGCTGTGTCTACATATATATTAGAATACAATTTTTGAAATCTTTGTTTTATATAATACCTGTTAGCTAGCATGTTGAAATTGTGTTCTGTTTTGTAGACCAAATAAAGAGAAAAAAAAATCCAAAATTGGGGTTTTTCAAGCCTTTAACAATTCATAGAAGATATTAACTTTATCGTAAAAAGTCACGAGAATTTTTTTATTGGTATTTTATCAAAGAATATAAAAAAATAGTCCCGTTTGAAAATAATAGTTCAAAATTAAACAATACCTACGACACCGAGTTGCCTCATGGCAACATGCATTGATATCATCAGTACGACAATTTGAAGGGAACCGCATAAAAAATTGACGTGGATCAGATTTCGGTACTTATGCACCTATTCCTTCTGGACCATGTCTAAATATTTGGCATTGCGGTAGGTACGCCTTGCCCACTGCCGTTGGTTAAATTCGCGAACGTGTTAAACTTATCCAAAATAACAATTTATGCTGACGAAAGATTGACAGCCACTGGAAACTACAATGGAAAAGTAGTTCGATAGTCCATTAATTCGTAATTAACCCTGTGGGGCATTTCCGAAAAAAACACAAAAACAATAGCTGGCTAATCCTAATCTATAAAATAAAGCTTTAAAAACGATTACCTATCATAGAATCAAACAATCATTAAGATTACTTAGCAAATTCCTAAGATAATGAACTCGTGGTAATTCCGAAAAACCGAAAAGGGCTAGAAAAGCTGTTTCCACCAAAAAGATAACTTTGCACACGCACTATTGAGACTAGTCAACAACTGAAACAACTGAAGCGAAGGAGACAGATAAAATGTCGTCTAGAATAAAGTGACCAGAACAAAAAATATTGCCTAGTTAAGCCGTAATTTGTAAATATCGAAATTCCCCCATTTTCGTAATAACCCCAAAGCACCTTATATCTTTTTGCCGGAAACTATTTATTCATTTACTTTAAACTTTCATTATGATAACTAGATTAGTTTATTACAATTATTTCCATAGCATAATGTCTTATGGAATTTTGCTATGAGGAAATGCAGCTGATTTAGAAACAATTATTTTTTTTTTACAGAAGAGGGCCATTAAAGCTATTTACAACCTAAAACCGAGAGATTCTCTAAGGTCGGCCACATACATACGGAATTCCCTTTTTGGGTTCCGTTTAGATATTCCGATTCGGAATTCCATGAATGCATCACACACATACGTTTACATATATTTCCGTTCGGAATAGCGATGGTCAGTTGAGAGACGTTAGCCATTGAGTCTACACATTCTGCAAGCGAATAATGATGACGATTTTCTGGTTGCGATTCCATTGTTGCTGTATCATTCTTACTAGGTGCATGCCCTTATCATCCTAAGCTTGCAATATAGTCAATATTATATAAAAAGATTTATCTATCCAGAGATATTTCTTAAATATGGATGTATCTAAACTCTTTCGACGAATATGAAAAGCTATACACATATAAGATTAAATGTAAAAACATAAATAAACACATCTACTCGCTTATGTCGTGCGACGAACACTGAGCGCGTTCCGTACGGAATTTACGAATGTGTGTTGCGACTCATACAAAATCTACGGAAGACTTGCGTTCGGAGCGGCTTTTTTCCGTTCGGGATTCCGAACGCACATGCGGTCATACGGAATCTCGAATCGGAGAAAATTCCGTACGGAGAATTACCGTACGTGTGTGGCGGGTCAAAGTTTTTATATGGACTTGCTGCGTTCGGACTTCCGAATCGGATTCCCGAAACGGAATTACGTGTGTAGGTATGCCGGCCTTAGAGAAAAATTTAAAGAAATAAATATATTAACTTTGGCCTCTCAATGTACTGAGACGCCAAAGTTAATATACGAAAATTTAATGTATGTTCACAAAAATAAAGGTAGTATTAGTAAAAAAAGTGAAATACATTCTGTAAACACTAGGAACAAACACAAACTAGTGATGCCAGTTTCTCCACTCCACAGAGTCAGTAATTCATTCTTGGAACAACGTATACGCTATTACAACAAATCCCCAGAAAATATATAAGCTCTCTCTATTACCAAATTTAAATATTTTACTAAACTAAAACTGTAAACTGTAAAAAAAGTTATTAAAATTTAAATGAATACATGGTTGCTAATAACCCCTGGAAATGAGGTGGTCGCTTACAAGCTGTTTCTAAAATAAATTTTGTAAATAAGTTTGTACAATTTACTTTTAAAAAAAGTCCCGCTGGGTTTTTTTCGAACCAGCGGTAAAGTAAAAAATGACTGTCAATAAGAATTACACATGTGATCTATATTGATTAAAAAAATATTCTACTATATTCTACTGGTCAGACCTTGATCAAATTTATATGGGACCAAATGAGAAGCACCAGGTTTCAAATAGAAAAAGAATCATCGAATTCGGTTTACATAGAAAAAAGTTATGAGGTAACACAAAAAAAACAGTCGAGTTGAGTACCTCCTCCTTTTTGAAGTCAGCAAAAGAATTTAAAGCCCCGACTTCATGTGAATATTTTTTTTCTGTTTGGTTTTTGTTAAAAGATTTTCCCTTCTTAGTGAACTTAAGAAAATCATACTCGTCATCTAAATAATTATATTAAAACTAGTCAAATTGTAAATCTCATTTTTCGGTTAAAAGCAGAAGTAATTTTCTTATTTTTATCTATTTTTCTATTATTAATGAAATAGGCAACATGGGTTCTATCGATATGGTATCCAATAAATAGTAAATAAATAAAAAAAACACAGGTGATCAAATATAGTTTCTGCCGCAGGTGGTGGGCGCAGCGCATTGCGTCAAGAGCCTCTTCTCCCAGCCGGTGGCCATCACACTGCAAAGCGGAAAGTTCATTCTCAGGGAATATGGCAGATACGTCCTGGTAAATATTCATCATCATCCCTTATAGCAAATCATCTTTACCGTAGTGGCGGCGCAAGAAAATCCATCACCACATTTAATCCCGTTAGTGTCGTAAGAAGCTACTATGAGATGTGCCAAAATTCTTATGGTTTCCGAGTGATGACGATTATAACCATCTCGTTTCTGTCACGCGTAAAATACTCGAAAGCAACATTGAAGGTGCGAGACGTCTGGTACTGTGATCTGTTAGGATGACTCGCCTTAGGTCCTTTAAAAAAAAACACTGCTGCAAAACTAATTTACTTTAATTACACATCGACTGTGTAGTGACGGTGTAAGTATATCCACTACCCCATATCATCCCTTGGATGTCGTAAGAGGGAAACAAGTCAGTAATAACGACTAAAATCAAAAAGCTGCGGTTGCCAACCCGCTTGCCAAGCGTGACGACTATGCCAAATATTCCAATATGAGGCAATCTATGGGGCAGGCCTGTGTTCAGCAGTGGACTAATAGGCTGTAACGGTAACGGTGACATCGGAACTTATAAAAAAGTTGTGTTCCGAACAAAGATTAGAGTTTGACTGCATAAATTATATGAAAAACTATACATAATACTTACAATAGTATATATCAGTCCATTGATGGATGCAAGTGGTTCAGGACCGTGCTTTGTGGCATTCCTTGAGGGAGTCCATTGTTCATCAGTGGACTTGTGAAAGGCTTTAATGATGATAAATGATGACACCGGTCCGTAGTCCAGATCCAGATCTTCAATCCGTTTGCGTGAAGCGTGACGATTAAGGGAAGTCTTCTTTACAATTATTACATTATTTTAGGAAAAATTTGGGCATGATGTAAAATAACTGTTTAAAAAGACATCTGATCAGTAATTTAAGAACAATTCAATTCAACAACAATTCAATTATAAAAGCTTTTAGAAAAATTTACTTCGCAAATATGCGCGTTATAAAATAAAATGATGTGCCTTACCTAGTATGAAGAGCACCTCCCGCCCTCCCTCAATTGCGTGCACTATCCTCGTCACCACTAATCCCAGCACCGCTAACACATCATTTTGTTTTATAACGCGGATATTTGCGAAGTAAATTTTTCTAAAAGCTTTTATATAATGGATTTCCGCAAAGTAACGCCTGATTCTATTAATTATTTTAAACAATTCAATTGTTCTTAAATAGCAACAATATTCATATTTTATGTATTATTGAAAATTGGCAAAAAGCTTATAACTTAATGTTTAACTTCAGTAATCACCAGATGGTCAGTTCGATCAATAGAGAAACTGTTTTAAGAGGAGGCTCGTTAATATTAGCTACTAAATTATTGTCATGTAAAGAACGTAAAGATATTTCTGAGCCTCTCTGTTGAGCGAACTGTAGAAATGGCATGTGTTGAGTTTGAGCACCTCATTGTTGTGAGCGTCAATAAACACCATCGAGCAACCACCTTATTCACCAGATATGGCGCCAGACGACTTCTTTCTTTTTCTTAAACTCAAATTACCACTTCGAGTCACCCGTTTTCATTTGGTAGAAGACATAAAGGCGGATTCGCAGCGAGAACTGAACTCAATTCCAGAAAAAATGTTTCGATGATTGGATTATTTATATATTATTATAGAAAGTATCGTTTCTGAAGGAGCATACTTTGAAGATGGTAAAACAAATTGGATGAATAACTAACATTTTGTGTATTATTGATTTTTTCCCGGTACTTTCTTGATAGAGTAGTACTTGTAAGTTTCTTGATGCATATTCTCACAGCGTCTCCCTGCAGCAGGAACTTGTTGGAGCGGTGGTGTATTAAACTTTCAAAAAGTGCTTTGTAAAAGGCAATTTTTATTCAAAATATTTGACTTTGATTTTATCTGAATGTACCGGACTAGACTGTACGTGGAAGGAAAGTGCCAGTATTTTTTTTTTCTCAGACGTATAAAATAAACGGGATCTAAATGATCCGTAGTAGCTCAAGGGCTAAGCGCTCGCTGTACATTTCACTGAACGCGAACAACCCGGGTTCGAACCCCGACGGCACCAATAAAATTTCTAAATGCTGATTTAGGCTCTATATCATAGAACCTGCATCTCTGAGAAATAAAATGTGAAGTATCAACAATCCTAATTGCTCCATATACCTCTCATTGAATCATATGAGGCTTATGCCCAGCAGTGATAACCTGCCGTTCTCTGCCTTGCTGGTTTACAATTCGAGTGTATGTCTTTTTTGTATGTATGTACGCTATATCTTCGCAGTTTGTGAACCAATTTTGATGGTTCTTTTTTATTAAATAGAGAAATCCACCCTAATGGTAGCAAATAAATAACTTCTTTTTTAACAATATATATAAAGTCGGTTTTTACTTTTTGTTAAAAGTTATAACTAATAATCAGCTGTTATGAAATAACGCGAAGATATCTAGATAGACATATTATCTACATACAATGAATGTCTAGTCGTATCTAGACCAGGGCTTCCCAAACTTTTTTGACCAGGGACCACTTTCATAAATGTGTTATTTAAAAGGATTAGGTATGCAAAATATTTAAATCTTTCGCGGACCATATTTAAGCTCTTGTGGACACCTGGTAGTCCGCGGACCACTCCTCGGGAACCACTAATCTATTTTATGACTAGACATTGACTGTATATATAACTAAACGTAGTAAATAATTCAATATTATGTCGATTTTTGTGATTTGGCTAGACATGTCCTTTTCATATTGACTCCCGTTCTTGTCGGATACCTGATCTGTTTTAATCGGATCACGAAAACCTCGATTGACACTAGTTGAAAGAAGGTCACAGTTGTGTGGCTTCGATCAACAATTGATCGAAGTTGTGGGGGCGAGGGATATCGTGCCGACAAGTGTGAACACACAATACGAGCTCGCACGCGAGTAAAGTCAGCAAACCATCCGATATAATTTATCAGTGTATTTTTATAGAATAAAGGTGACACATAATTGTATGTGCGTGCTGTGGCCCATGGACATCTACATCTAAATAAAATTGAGTATCAACATTTAGATGCGTTTGTCACCCTTGACAACTAAAATGGAATGCTTTGTTACCAATAAAAAGAGTCTCCGGTTCTCTACACACACCATACAAAACACAGCAGCATTAAGCTACTAATAATAATATTACACGCTGGTATTCTGTGAGTGTGGTCTCTGCATTCGCGATACAACCATAATGCAAAGGTTAGCTGCCAGAGAATGCCTTTTCGGCATTAAGTACGCCTTTGTGCCAAATGTTTGTTTGAGTGCAATAAAGAATTTTCTATCTATCTATCTAATATAGCTGCAGCATGGCTCTTCCAAATTAATATGTCAACAGCTCCATACAAAGTATTCTGTAACTAGAACACGCTACATCCGTCAAGTGTAAACGTCCTTTATAGCGTACAGGAATTCGAAGTAGTTAGCTCAAGGCTATTTTTGTGGCTTACTTTGGGGATGCCTATGCTAAGCAGTGAATTTGTGACTTTTGACAATAGTAATTAATAAACTACACTATGTAATTATTATGAAAATGGATATTTCCTTTATATCTATTAAATAATGAATCGTAAATTAATCTACAATATTAAAATGGTATAATAGGGTTAGATTTTGATTTAGGATACATTTAAATGTTGCACGAATTGCACTGATTTAGTTCTCTACACCGCCAGCATCATAAGCACCACTTTGCCTCTGCCTAATTGATATTATATCCCGTATAAGATGTCTACACTTTAAGCGCAAATTCACTCAACTTAGCAAGTCATAAGTTTATGTAAGATGCAATAACAAAGATGTTGAAAATTAATTAGCCTACGATACGCGTGCTCTTCAAAGTAGGTAATGCTCTCTTACCTACTTTGAAGAGCACCTACAGAACAGAAGTAGCACCTCCCGCTCAATCGTTTGCCTTTTCGGCATCGGTTTGAGCGGGAGGTGCTACTTCTGTATTGTTATTGTTACTTCTGTATTGAGTTTTCTTTTTGTTGTTGCGCTAAAATATCGAAAATAAATTAAGAATGTTAATATATTTCTCCAGGCGATAGGTAGCGATCGGAATATTCCCGATTGGGTGCTAAAAAACCGAGCCAGCCTGTTGACGTCCATGATCAAGGTTTACCACGGCGATCTCAACATGCTCGCTGCGCAGATGGAGGACCAAAAGAGGTTGGCCGAGAAGCTGTACCAAGTGTTCGAAACATACCTCCCTGTACTGCAATACGGTTGTCATATCTTCCAACGGGTTCCGATGCTGAGTCTGCCGAAGGTAAGTTTATCCGTAACACTTATTCTTATATCCGTGTTCCTTCTAGCAGATTTGTCTGTATGTTTATTGTATGTAATATCTTCGTCAATTGTGAACCTATTTTGAGGATTCATTTTCTAGGGTGCCGTAAACGAAGGGTAACCAACGGGACCCTGTTACTAAGCCTCTTGTCCGTCCGTCCGTCCGTTCGTCCGTCTGTCTGTCTGTCAGCGGGCTGTATCTCATAATCCGTAATAGGTAGTAGACAGTTGAAATGTTTCCAGAATGTGAAAAATTAAAGGGGGCTCCCCTAGTAAAAACCGTATATTGCGATTGTATGGAACCCTTCATGCGCGGGTCCGACTCGCACTTGGCCGATTATTATTAAGTATGTTGTACTTCAGAGATGGTCTAAAATATGTGGCCTAAGAGTGGCAAAATAGAGGATATATTTTATATTTTTTTTTTAGATAACATTGAGAAAGAAGATAATATATTAAAAGCCGACTTCAAAGATCTAAAAAGCATAAAATAATTTCACATTCTGCAGTAGGGGTTTAATTTTTTCTATAACTATGTATCAACTCTACACCGCTTTCAAAATGTGACATAATTATAACAATCATATAGTTTGAAATAAATTTATTTACGTACCATAATAATATACAAAATGTATTACAATAAAAATATAACTATAAAACGGTTCCCGCGGTATAGTGAACGGAAAAATAAAAACGGAGAAGTAATTATTTTATCCAGAGTACATCCAAAGGAGGCAGTTTGGTCTACCCGAAAAAATATTGTATCTGTTAGAAAGGCTAAAAGAAAACAGGGCATTTAATAATGTCATCTATGATTATCAGTATCACACTTAAAACGATAATGTTGGATATGTTTGTTTACATTTCATTCTTATCGTACAAACGGCTACTGGATAGTAATAAAACGGCTTAACACGAGCATAATTTCAGTTTCTATGTGCCTACGTAAAGTTTACAGTGGCACGCAATAAAATACATTATAAAATTTCCATCGCCCAGTTAATGTGCTTTCAATGTAATCAATCAATTGCAAATTTGTTTTCAATTAAATAAATTGTAATCTTTATCAATGATGACCTACATGTCGTCCCTAGAGTAAGTATAATAAAACACAAATTATAAAAAACATCATTGTCGAAATATACCAATATTTATTTAATTTAAATAACATAATTTTATACGTGGTAGAGCCATGCTGCAGCTATATTATGGTTGTAGCACAAATGGGTCGGCTCGACCGGGGAAGGACCACGCTCTCACAGAATACCAGCGTAAAATAGCAGCTTAACGCTGCTGCGTTTCGTATGATGAGTATAGAGAACCGGAGACCCTTTTTACTAGAAACGAGACATTCCATCTTAGTCCTCACGGGTGACAACGCATCTGCATTTTGATTCGTAATCGAAGATACATGTAGATGTCTATGGGTCACAGCAACCACTTACCATCAGGTGGACTGTATGCTCGTTTGTCACCCTTATCCTATAAAAAAAAAACTTTATTGCGTCCCTTTATAAAAGAAAAGGATACAAAGGGCGGACATAATGCCTAAAGGCATTCTCTACCAGTGAACCCATGGAGTGGTGAGTTTGTCGTGGGTGTAGCATTTAAAGAAAAAAAAATAGAAACTAAAATTATATCATATATTCGTTATATAATTATATAACTAATATTATCAATTCTACTAATTCTTATCAAAGATTATACGACAATTACGAAATATACGAGGTTTTTTAGAAAATTATGCCGGTGTTTTCGAGACGATCCCAGGTTTTATATATCTAAATCAGGTGAAATATAAATGAATACATGGTTGATAATAACCCCTGGGAACGAGGTGGTCGCTTCCAAGCTGTTTCTAAAATAAATTTTGTAAATAGTTTGTAATCATTTATATTGTAAAATTAATTTTAAAAAAAATCCCACTGGGTTTCTTGCTGGTTCTTCCCAGGACAGGTATTTTCCGAACCAGTGGTAAATACAAAATGACTTTCAATAAGTATTATGTTCATCAATCAAATATCAATATTGAATAAAAAATCATTCTATTCTTTAAACTCAAACTTTACAATGTCCAAATTTCTGTAACATAGTATGGTATAGACTCAGATGCCTCAGGCCGGTATTCGAAGACAACCTAAGTTTAAACTCAAAATGTACAATGTTAAAAGTTTGCGTTTATAACATATCATTATGTGAACAGTCGGCCACAGACTGCCTCTTTGGTTTAGTGGTCCTAAACGCGATTGTTAGTCATTAGGTCCCGGGTTCGAGTCCCGGCTGGGGCCAAAATCAGCTATTGGATTTTTCTGTCAAGAAATTCGTCAGTTGCAGGCCGGAGTCAGGAAGATGGCGGTGTTTCATGCATGGCAAAAGCCCGTGGAAAGCCCGTAAAGCTGTTGGTTCTGCTTTTGATCTCTCTCGGATCCTGTCATCGTCCCATCAGGCTATGAGAGTTAGGGAATAGAGTACACATTTGCTTGCGCATACAAACTAGCACTGTAATTCTGTCCTTCTCAGATGATTGAGACTGGCCGCTGTGACCGAAATGCTGCAGGACATTATGTTGATAAATTTGACATTGTGAAGTTTGGGTTTAAACTCGAGATAGTCTCTGAATAGTGTGCTTGGTGACAGGGGCTTTAATTACGTCCGCATCGAGAGCCGAAGACATACTGAAAACTTGTTTAGATGAAAACTCGTTTAGTTAGTTAACCAGCTAATGCATTACGTCTTATCATACTCATCCTTGTCTATTAATCGAGGATAGATATGGGACTATGAGCCATAGCATCCACTTGTCATCACATGGACTGTGTGCTAGTGAATGCAAAGGTAAAGGGACAATCCGGACTTGAAGCTTTGTCTTATTTCAGAGCGCCACCTCAGTATACATGGAGTCAATGCAAATCCTGGAGCATTGCCGGAAAAGCAAGGGCGTACTTGGAGGAGTAATTCTATACAACAATAAGTGAGTATAATAGACGCTATGGTGTTATTATAACCTCCTTAATTGGCCATCGTAATACCTATAGTAGCATAATATTGCTGTATTTATATATAGTGTGTGACCAGAACCCGAGAACTCTATTTATTGGTAAAGAGATATACCGGCTAAGACCTCGGAGTTAACAACGCATCGGTGTTGTGATTATTAATCGAGGATAGATGGAAATGACTATGGACCTCAGCATTAACTCACCATCAGGTCTGTGTTCGTTTATTACTCTTAACTCCATTAAGAATAAATCTGAGCCAAATACACAAATGGTTGATAGGTCGTTATTGATGTGACATATTCTTGAACATGGTGGTTTCGGTAAGCTATGTACAGAAGTTTATTAATGGATGCGAATATTACTTTAATACGTGCTGTTTTCGAGAGTCATTACGAATCGTCTCGCGCGCAGACTTGACGACTTCCAGCCTCCCGAACAAGCCGGTTTCCGAAAAGGCTTTAGCACCATAAACCACATACATATCCTTCGGCAAATTGTACAAAAGTCAGATGAGTACAATTTGCCACTATTTCTGGCGTATGTGGACTATGAGAAAGCCTTTGATTCCGTCGAAATTTGGGCGGTGTTGCAGTCCCTTCAGCGGTGCCAAGTTGACTGTCGGTATATCGAAGTGTTGAAGTGCTTGTACAGTAGGGCTACGATGGCTATCCGAGTTCAGATCCGGAGTACGAAACATATCCAATTGCAGAGAGGTGTAAGACAGGGTGACGTCATATCCCCGAAACTCTTCACCGCTGCATTGGAAGACGTTTTCAAGCTACTGGACTGGAAAGGATACGGTATCAACATGAATGGCGAATACATCACTCACCTTCGATTTGCCGACGATATAGTCCTTATGGCAGAATCGCTGGAGGACCTAAACACTATGCTCAATGACCTCAATAGTGTTTCCCAACAGATAGGTCTTAAGATGAACATGGACAAAACAAAGATCATGTTCAATGTCCATGTCACACCTATGCCGGTAGTTGTTGGGAGCACTAAGCTCGAAGTTGTTGACGAGTATGTTTACCTGGGGCAAATAGTCCGACTAGGTAAGTCCAACTTCGACCGAGAGGTCAATCGACGGATTCAACTCGGTTGGGCAGCGTTCGGGAAATTACGGCACATCTTCTCGTCAGGTATACCTCAAAACTTGAAAACAAGACTGTACAACCAGTGCGTGTTGCCAGTGATGACCTATGGAACTGAGACGTGGTCCTTCACTGCTGGCCGGATGAGGAAACTCAAGGTCGCTCAGCGAGCTATGGAGAGGGCTATGCTCGGAGTTTCTCTGCGTGATAAACTTAGAAATGATGATATCCGCAGTAGAAGCAGAGTGACCGACATAGCCCAACGGATTAGTAAGCTGAAGTGGCAATGGGCCGGCCATCTGGCTCGAAGAACCGACAACCGATGGGGAAAAAAGGTTGTCGAGTGGCAGCCCCGTACCGGCAGGCGAAGTGTAGGGCGTCCCCCCATTAAATGGAGTGACGACCTGGTAAGATATGCAGGAAGTTGATGGATGCAGGTGGCTCAGGACCGTGCTTTGTGGCATTCCTTGGGGGAGGCCTATGTTCAGCAGTAGACTTGAGAAGGGCTGTAATGATGATGATGATGATTACGTTAATAGTTCTCGTGCCATTCAGTGACAAAAACGCAGCAGCGTTGGAGAATCCACTACCTCATATCATTCCTTGGGTGCCGTAAGAGACGACACGGAAAGCTAGAGAGATGGGGCAGCAGCCTCTTCCCGATAACAACTCAAAATACTTAACAAAAATGCGGTTGCCGAACCGTTTGACAAGCGTGGCAACTATGAGGCAATCTATAGGGGAAACTTATGGTCAGCAGTGGACTGATATGTTGTGAGGATGATAACGATGATGATGATAGTTCTCGTGAAATTTAATCTCGAAGATTTCTGCGATTTTACCAAATCATAACACGGTGTACAGAAAAGTGGACTCGAATATGAAACTTTGTTTGCGTAAAAAAATCTTTAGTCTCTACAAAGTAAAATTGATTCTAGGTTTTCACGCCTAAGGAAATGTGCCAAACACATTCACATATTCAATTGATTTAATTGCATTTCGAAACAAGCTAAAATATTGAGCAAGAACCTGTCATCAGCTTTACTCCTGTCATTGGCTTAATTATTCAAGCTTTGCAGGATTATCTCCACTCAATTGCCACCAAGTCTTACCTCTTACCTGACCGTGGTAGATCCATATCGAATAAAATCACCAGCAGAGACATTGCAAACTGAAACACCGTTGCCTCTGGGAGCACAGCTTCTGGTAGTTTATGTGGGGCGGAGGACTTACGACACTCTGAAGAAGCAAGCAGATAAGATGCAGGAGTTCTATCAAAACGGTGAAGAAATGATCGCACGGTTTAAAAAGGTAAGATTCAGAATTAATCTTGATTTTTAGAAGTTTCCTGCGAAAAAATGTTTAACATTCCAAAGACAATTTTCTTTTTTAAAATAGATTTTCTTTGGTTAGGTTATATATCTAAGGATTACCTGTACCTAACAAGGTGTAATTTAGGTATTCCATAAAATATACCATCAATCCAGAAAAAAAAACTCAAAACTAATAGCGAAATAACTCAAAAACATCAATCTTAAAGTTTTGAGACTGCATAGAATTATTACGCATAGAAACGCAGTCCAGTACAAAACACGAGCGTTAAAATGATGCAAAGTCATTATGTTAGTGGGCGCGAGTCGAATGTGCCTACGCTCGTCACACGCACACATACACGCCATTCAGTGATACCAGTTTCTGGCGTTTGCAATCAAATTGTGCAAATCACTATTTTGTGGTTAATTTTAAAAAATCGATATAATAAAGATTACGTATTATGTACGAAGATTATTTAGTAGAAGTATTTTATGAGAATATAAAATGGAATAAAATAAACACAATAATCATGTTTCTAATATAACTTTATTATACATATATTAATGGTAAAAAATGCATACGTAATAAAATTTAAGAATATTATTAAACACAATTAATTTGCTCGAATACAATAAGCACATCGTGTAATGTTTAATTTTAACCGACTTCAAAAAGGGAGGAGGTTATCAATTCGGTGTATTTTTTAATGTTTTTTAATTCTACAATTTCTAAACCAATTTAGATTTTTTTGAAAGGATATACACACAGATTGATCCAATACACACGCTGAAATTTTAATGGTTGTTTTCCCGAAGTAAAATGATTTTGCCTTAGTAGTACAATAGAATAGATGTAAAAATGGCAGATTTACAATCGAGAAAAACAATACTCGAATGCGATCTCAAACCAGTAAGCAATATCTCGCAAGTAGGTCGGGCGTACAGGCTAGCTTATACCGAATTACTATAATAAAGTCTGAAAAAAATTCGCTGGACGTAATGTAGTGTTACATCTATCGCCCGTGCTACCGCGCGCTTCCTACAAAGTGAAGGACCACTAATAAATGTTCATAACATGAATTCTCAAGCGTAGTGATACGACATAAACTAGTTTGGACGCCCGAATAGCTTGTGAGGTATTACTATAGTAAATCTGCCCTTTTTTAATTGTAATATTTTTTAATTTAATAAATTGACTCTACTATCGAGACAGTATAATTTGGCTGCGGGACAACAACCACTAAAATTTCAGCATGTATTGCTTGTATTATACGAATTGATCAAGCTTAGAAATCAGTGTACATACATATTGATAACCTTTCTTTTTGGGAGTCGGTTAAAATAGGCTATGTTTGGGTCTAACGTAACATCTGGTTAATGTTTGGGTGTAAAGTGACATCTGGTTAGTAAAGGCGTTCTTATTAATAATCTCATGATGTTGTAAATAAAAAAGTTTTTATTCTATACCCTAAAACGTAACCTTAGTCATTAAAAAATCAAATAAAAATAAAATAGTCGCGTTAAAATGGCGTCGACGAATCGCGATTAACTGATCATTCCGTATTAATTTTAAATAGACACCCATTGTTAATATAATGTTAACACTTAGAGAAGTAGGTATCTATATATAAACATTTGAGTTTTACACAGAGCGTTGCGATTAAACGTTTTAAACACAAATAGAAAATAAATATTTTTAAAAGAAAATTGTGATTTTTTCCCCACAACTAGCAACATTTGTATTATGAGAGCTTAGGTAAGTATTTTTTTTAGTTTTACGTACTTATAATAAATTAAATGTATAAACTTATATGTGAAATGTAATACCATTACTTCTTTTATGTTTATCATCACCGTTGTGACAATATTTTACAACACAAACGGTAATTTTTACAATTTTTCGCGAGCTCTTCTCCGTAAGACGTGACGTTGCGCACTGACGCGTCGCTGAGTCAACTAACGCGGTTTCGAGTTAGTTTTACTTGCTTCACTTTCGGTGCGCGTACTAGTATTCTATGCGTTATAATTCTATGTGAGACTGATTATGGAAAGCGGCTTAATTGCATCTGAATTGAAGTTGTCAATGCATTGTTCCATTAATATTTTCTATATGTTAGAAATCTAGATATAATTTAGCATGAATTAACAAGTCACAGAAGTCACAGCACTTAAAGGTATAAGATGTCATTCATAAACAGAATAAATAAAAGTGGAGTTAAAACTATTCCTTGTGGCACTCTAGACATAATAGCCATAAAATATCAGTTTCTAATTCTCAGATGCAAGAGGCGGAGCGCGAAAAGCAACCACAAACCGGTATGAAAAGGGACAAATCATTACTCTTCACAGCTGTGCCAGAAGAGGACCACACCATGATATCACCGCCAAGCAAAGAACATCATACGGAGAATAGAAAACCGAGCATGCCGGACGTCGTCCCGTTCACGAACAAACCCCGTCCCAGGCCAAACAAACTCTCACTAAGCAACTTCAAAACGCAAAAATCATTAGACGAAGTAGTGACGGAGAACGAAACAAAATTCACAGGCCAGACTAGTGTTTGTTCAACCCCAATGGTTGAATACAAAAGACTCCATGGCAACATGCTCTCGATATGCCAAAATCCGGATAACCAAACACAGGAAAAGTCTCCGGACTTAGAACCGGACGTTCTAAAGAACATAGAAAACTGTGCCAAAATGAAGATAGAAAGTGAGAAGCGAGATAACAAAATGGTTTTAGATATAAATTGTATAGCTGATCATTTTATAAATAAACCGGAACCAATACGGAAATTAGCGAGTGTTATGGATATTCAAGAAACTTTCCGGAAGCTATCTAACCGAGCAACATCCAAATTTAAGTTAAAGCGATCGCAAAATGAAGATGATTCTCCATTAGAAGAAACGAGGAGTCCAAGTACACTCACAATTAACGACCCATTATTCCCTGTGTTTAGGAATGATGGTGTTGCGATTTCAGAGTCCCTCTTTAATCAGTATCTAGAGCAGTATTATTCTAGAATTAAACAAGAGTCAAAGGAAGAGAACATGTTCAATTTCAACTCAAAACTTGGAGAACCTGAGAAGTTTGAAGATTTCGACTCAGAAATGACAAAGTCACCTCAAAGAACTCCAAAGAAGATAGCGAAAGATTCAACAAAAACACTACCAAGCGATCAGTCCAGGCGTAAAGCGTTATCATTACCTCTGAAATTGTTGACGGAGAGTTCCGAAGCCCAAATCGATGCGGAGGCAGTTAGTTTTAAGAAGAAATTGTCAGGTGTGCAACTAACACCACTTATGGAAAAGTTGAGTCATTTAGCATTCACATCAGATAAGTCCAGTGGATACAGTAGTAGGGTGATGACTCCATTAGAGATTAGAGAGTTTCTGACACCAGCTGCCGAACGTCAAGTCACCTTCTCTGACAGGTAAGAAGGTATATCTCAATTAATATATTTTTTATTATCATAGAAGTATAACTTGAATTAAATAAAACCCCGAAACAAAAAGAGTTGGTGATCTTTAAACGGCTGAACATATTTTCTTGAAATATAGCTAACACTCGATTAAGACACCTTTCAAACGAAAAAAATTTACTCAAAATCGGTTTATCCGTTGAACTATGACGTCACAGACAGCAACAAACATACTCCGTTTTAGTAGGAGTTTAAAAATAAATCTAGGTGCAAAAGGTGCTGATTTTAGAATGTTTCCTTATGTTGTCAACACATATATTCACTTTGTTAGCTATAAAATACTAATTAGAAAAAAAATGGGCTTGTAGTGGCAATGTAAGAGAATTCACTACTCACTAATATCATGAGTGTCATTAGGGGCGATATACGAAAATGAAACAGGATTTTGGCAGCAATAGCTTCCTTACTTAACGTGGTACACTCACACTGTAGCTATATTAAGATTGCAGTAATTCTTGGTGTCATCTCCAATGGGACAGAACCACGTTCTTAAAGAATACCAGTGTAAAATAGCTGCTCATTTCTGCTGTATTCCGTATGGTGAATGTTCCATTTTAGTTCTTAGGGGTAACTACAATACACCAACATTTTCATTCTTAATCGAAGATAGATGTAAGTATCTGCGGACCACAGCATCCATTTACTGTTAGGTGGATTATGTGCTCGCTTGTTACTCTTATTAACAAAGCATCTGTCTGATAACTAAAAATAATGTAAAACTGCGGTTGCTAACCTGCCTGCCTCAACTTCATGTATGTCATACCAGGTCGTCACTCCGTCACCTATATTAGTGTATAGATTTCCATGAATCTATAGTTGCCGTGTGGTGACAGCGTATAAGAATCCGTCATCTCGTTTCGTCAAAGTCAAAGATCAGATATCTCGTTTTACAGGAACAAGACCCACCGAGAAGACTGTGAAAGTGATTCAGAATCCGAAAGTAACTTGGACCTTCTGCCCGAGTACAGTCAGCATGCAGTAAAATGCGCACTCTTCGTTAGCGGATTGCACAATATGGCGCTGCTAGCGCTACTCGAAGTAGACGCAGCTGACAATGTCGACACCATTAATAACCTGGTATGTATTTATTTGAAATTAAAAAAGATCAATAAACTTCTGAGATTAGTGGGTTTTTCTAGTTATTCGTTGTAGAAACTGTATGTTTTTCAATCAGTCTACTTCTTTTTTTTTTACTATTCTAAGTCAGTGCTTAATTACAATCCCACCAGATGGTAAGTGGTGATGTGGCCGAAGATGGTGAAGCACACCGACTTAATAAAAGCCAATTTTGCCTTGTAATCGAATGAAAAGACAGATTCTTTGACTAGTGATTTCACGTGCTTTTTGCTACTTATTGTTTTGATTGTTATCGTACCCACTATCATAAATATTCATTGTTTTAAGTAGTACTCCAAAAATGCTACAGCTAGCATCTACTACCTATTATAGTCAGTTTTCAACATCTTATTTACCGCAACTCCGTCTAAAGTTACGCGTATTTTGTATGGACACTACCTGAAAGAGATTACAATTCGAGCAATCTAGTAATATTCCGGGTGGCAATTTTTCCACTAATCTGATTAATCATTGGTAAACAGTGGGAAACGTCTCTCAACGCTCTGGGTCCTATCGAGCAAAAGTGTATGGAGCCACTTCCAGCTGAAGCCGAAACTACTGACTACAGTTATTTGATGCTTGACCCTGACTGGGGCTCAGTGCGCAAAGGAGGTCCATGGGCCGCTATGGATATTGCAACAATGGGTCTTATTCACAATGAGTTTGCGGAAGATCCAGAATTATCCGAATTCATATTAAGGTAAAATTTTAAACTTTATAGACAATTATTAGTTTGTTATTTTATCATATTTTTATCTGTGAAAACGGTTATGCTTAGAGTTTCTCTGCGTGATAAATTCCTAATGTGGATATCTCCAGAAGAAGAGTAATTGGCATAGCCCAGCTGATCAATTGGCAGTGTGCCCAGTTTGAGCAGTGGACTCATTAACTGTGATGATAAATATCTCAATGTTTGATATTTAAATACATAGGAACAAGACAGTGGTAGATAAAGATTATCTCGAGTCTAGTGGTTACCAGTATAGTCGTTATCAGTAAGATACTGCTGCCCATCTCTTGTTTCGTTCTGCCGCCTTTTACGACACCCACTAGATAGGATGGAAGTACATGGAATCTTGTCGAAATTAATCAAAATATGACCATTTCAGATTAAAGTAGAATTAGCAAAAAATTAGCATCTTCATCATCATTACAGCCCTTCACAAGTCCACTGCTGAACATAGGCCTCCCCCAGGGAATGTCACAAAAACGATCCTAAGCCACCTGAATTCATCGCCTTCCTGCGTGTCTTACCATGTCGTCACTTCATTTAGTGAGGGGTTGCCCTAAACTTCGCCTACCGTTACGAGGCTGCCACTCGAAAATCTTTTTTCCCCAACGGTTGTCGGTTCTTCGGTTGTCGTTCTATATGGCCGGCCCATTGCCTCTTCAGCTTACTAATCCGTTGGGCTAATGTCGGTTACTCTGGTTCTATTGCGGATATCCTCAATATCTCAGGTTATCACGCAGAGAAACCCCGAGCATAGCCCTCTTAATAGCTCGCTGGGCGATCCTGAGCTTACTCATACGGCCAGCAGTAAAGGACCACGTCTCAGATCCATAAGTCATCACTGGCAACACGCACTGATTGTAGACTCTCGTCTTTAAGTTTTGTATTATACGTGACGAGAAGATGAGTCGTAATTTCCCGTACGCTGCCCAGCCGAGTTGAATCCGTCGAATTACCTCTCGGTCGAAGTTGGATTTACCTAGTCGGACTATTTGTCCCATTGGTCAACAACTTTGAGCTTAGTGCTCCCAACAACTGCCGGCATAGATGTGACATGGAAGTTAAACATGATTTTTGTTTTGTCCATATTCATCTTAAGACCTATCCGTTGGGAGACACTATTGAGATCATTGAGCATAATGCTTAGGTCCTACAGCGATTCTGCCATAAGGACTATATCGTCGGCAAATCGCAGGTGAGTGATGTACTCGCTATTGACGTTAATACCGTATCCTTTCCAGTCCAGTAGCTTGAAAACGTCATCCAATGCAGCGGTGAAGAGTTTCGTGGATATTACGTCACCCTGTCTTACACCTCCCTGGAGTTGGATAGGTTTCCTCCTCTGGTTCTGTACTCGGATAGCCATCGTAGCCCTACTGTACAAACACTTCAGCACTTCGATAAACCGACAGTCCACGTGGCATCGCTGGAGGGACTGCAGCACCGCCCAAATTTCGACGGAATCAAAGGCTTTCTTATAGCCCCATATACGCCAAACAATGTTGCACTTTACGGTCTTCTATACAATTTGCCGAAGGGTATGCATGTGGTCTATGATGCTAAAGCCTTTTCGGAAAACAGCACGTAGACGCATCTCAGAAGCGAAATCGGTCTGTAGTTCTTCAAGAGGGCGGTGTCGCCTTTCTTGAAGAACAAGACCACCGCACTTCTGCTCCACGCCTCCGGAGTAGTATCTCCATGAAAGACAGAATTAAAGAGCTTCTGAAGGACTTAAAGTACAGGTTTTCCACCAGCTTTGAGAAGCTCCGCTATAATTCCATCCTCGCCCGAGCCTTTCTAATCTCGCTCAGACTAACTTCCGGGATATCATCGGAATAGTGTCGGATAAGACTCGCTCTTGGATCGTTACTCACACTTGCTCCAACGATAACGTGAACAGCTGCCCATAGAACCTCTCAATCTCACTCAAAATCGCAGGTGTCTCGGAAACTATGCTGCTACATTCGGTCTTCAATTTCGACAGTTGGCACTTTCTAGGAGACAGATCTCTGGCAAAGACTTTGGAGCCCTGGTTCTGCTCGATCGCTTTTTCAATACGAGCAGCATTAAAGTTGCGTAAGGCCCGTCGCATGCGTTTAAAGATCTGTCTGTTCAATTGCCTGTATGCTATCAAATTTACTGAAGACTGCAACGTCATTTCCCGTGTAACAGCCATGAGATTAAGAGTGAGATGGGAGAGTTTTTGTGTTCTTCTGCGGTGGTTCTTGCAAAACTTAGCTCCGACCGCATGGACAGTTTCCACGAGCTTGTCATTTATATCGTCCACTACATTGCAATCTTCTAGGCTCTAACAACGATTCTGTAACTCGAGCTGAAAGGTTTCGACACTCTGGATTAGAGCACGAGGGGGACGGAGAGTTCATTAAACGACACCTTTCCAACTTAACGTTTAGGTTCAGTGTGCTTCTTAGCATTCGGTGATCGCTACCAGTTTTCACCCTCGCGATCACTGAGACATCACTGAACAGTTGTCGTCTGGTGGTCATAATGAAGTCAGTCTCATTTTTTGTCGAACCTTCGGGGCTCGACCAGGTCCACTCCCTGTGGGGCCGCTTCTGGAAGAAAGAGTTCATCATAAAGAGTCCCTCTTTCCATGAAGTCGGCCAGCTGCTGACCCCTTGAATTCCGTTGCCCTACTCTAAACTTTAAAAAAAAATCCCTACTTTCAGCTCACCGTTCTCTCTTGTGCCTAGTTTTGCGTTATAGTCTCCCATTAACACTGTATAGTGTGTTTTGGAGGAATGCATGGCTCTAGAGATATCCTCATACATTTCCTCCACCTCCTCATCGGGGTGTGCCGAGGTTGGTGCGTAAACCTGTATGACCTTCAGCGAATACCATTTGGTGATTCTGAATATAAGATACGCAACCCTTATCGAGACACTCCCAATCTTTACTACGTTGTTAACGAGAGACTTGTGGACGACAAATCCGACACCTCCTTGGGACAGATGGTCGCCCTCCCGGTGATAGAACAAGTTGCCGGATTCGAGGATTACCGTGTCCACCCCCTCTCTTCGGACTTAGAATAATCTTATAATATTTCAGCGCAACTATCTCTTCTTCCAGCTTCAGGATCTTCTCGTCAGGCCTCAGGGTGCGTGCGTTATAAGTTGTCAGGTCGAGTTGTCGTAGGTGGCAACCGAACCTTCATCGGAGACGGGGGTATAATGCCATAGTTGCCACGCTTGGGGAGTGGGTTGGCAACCGCAGTTTTTTATTGCATTTTCTGTTATCAGAAAGGTGGTGCTCTGGATCTCTGGATCCTCTGCCTACGTTTCCCTCTGTCGTCTTTTACGACAACTACGGGAAGATATGGGGTAGTGAGTATTCTTACCCGCTACTACACGGGCAATAAATGTTGATCAAAAAATAATTTTAATTATAAGTTTGCACTCATAGTTAAATTATTTATTGAACAACAAACATGTCAGCCTAATCTGGAAATTCTCGGAATTATGAACACCGCGCCGTGATGGAATTCCTCGTAAAGAAGGGAAATACACTGAAAGACATTTTTAAGAGTCATTGATTTGTCAGGATTCCGTGAATTCATAGACGATGGTGAAAAATGCTCGTAGTCGATTAAAGGAGTTATGGAAAATTGACCGTAACTTAGTGCGCAATGGATTAGTACTGTTGTGTCCATCTGGTAGTATACTCATTAAACGTGGTAAAGGCATGTTAGAGCTATATTACAGTTGTAGCACAATGGGTCGACTCGTACGGGGATGGATCACATTCACAGAATACCAGCGTAAAATAGTAGCTTAAGGCTGTTATGTTTCGTATTGCGAGTGTAGAGAACCGTTGATTTTTTTACTAGATATGAAATACATATAAACTTAGTTCTCTGTGGTACATCGCATCAGCATTTTGATTCTTGATAGAGGATAAATGTAGATGTGTATGGGGCACAGTATTGACGACTATGCGGTCGTTTGTCACGTTTATTGTATGTTAGTTGATGGCACGTGGTGTGGTGGCAGGAGCGAGGAGAGCGTGGTGGTGGGGTGGTCGTGCGGCGGCGCGCAGCTGTTCTACCAGGAGGCGGGCGCGCGCGGCGCCGGCCCGCCGCCGCCCTCCGACGCGCTCGCCGCCGCGCCCGCGCGCGCCGCCCGCCGCCTGCGCGCGCACCGCGCCGCCGCGCTGCTCTAGACCCTTACCTGACCGCGTACACACCTACACACACATACACATGTCCACGTAGCCCACCGACGCCTGCTCCGCGACCGCGTCGCGCTGCTGCTTTAGAACGTACACACAAACACAGGCAGACCTGCACCGATGTTTTACTGCTCTAGAACTTACACATTCACACACACACACACACACAAACACACACACACACACACACACACACACACCACGCGTGCGCGCACATTGGCCACTCTAATATACACGTCTCATAATTAAAAAAACAAATCTACATTTTTACCGTTACCACGCTTGGTTGGTTGACAACCGGCTTTTTTTAACTTTTAGCTACTAGGAAGACGCTGCCTCCCATCTTCTGGTTTCTTTCACTCTGTCGCCACTTACAACACGGAACAATACGGGATAGCGAATATTATTACACCTACATACACACGTAATCTTTATTAAAATTTTGTCAAAAAATTACGATATTACTTTAACAAGCCCTTAGTGACAACGAAGTCTAAAGACGCGGTAAGAAACTTAGAAGTAGAGTTACAATATAACCGTTTTAAAAAATCTAATATTTTGGAACGAAAGCCCTTATCGCACGATACGAATTTGACGGATACGGGCTAGGCGAAAAAAAGTGTAAGATTTTTCCGTCACGACCCCCTCTCTATAGTGCGAGCGAGATGGAATAATATCCATCTCACTCGCACTTTTTCTTAAAAGATGTATTATTTTAAATGACGCTTCATTTTAATAAACGCTATTAATTCATTAATTTGTATGTGTTAATCAATAATATAATACGATTATCAATAATAATATACTACGAAAGGAATTTCGTTCCAACCGAGTGTTTCACGACACACACGCATGTTTTTTTTAATTGGTAAGTTAAATAATATTGAAGTTTAAAAACGAAAACCTGTGATTGATCATCGCATTTAACAAACGATACCCTACATTGAACTAATTTTATTGCATATTAGGAATTTCCCTAATATAAAATAATCTAAAAATGTAAAAATCGCGGCATCTTATGAAAATTGACATTTAAGGAGTGTAGTTGTCAGTAAACATAATCTACTACTTACCCTGCGTGCAAAATAAGCCGAATTACAACGTACACTTGGTACGATATCACGCCACAGTGAATCTCATCAATAATTTGCAACATGGTGAATTGGTCATAATTTCGCGCGTCACTTGAAATTCACGTAAGCGTTTCACACCGTCGTCGCCTAAGTTATTCCGTTTCTCATACCTGTATTCGCTATGCTTCACACAGCTGGGTATTTTTTAATTAAACAATCAGTATTTTTGTTTTTTGTTGACATTCAAATTAACCCAAGCATATGCACGGTTTTTATTTGAATCAATAATTCAGTCGATTTGGGTAACTGAACATTTTTTACAGTATTTGTGATAATATTACAATCTGATTTATATTTATACACGTTTATTTTATTGAATAAATAGTGTTCTTTTTTGTTAGTTTATTTTTCCAACACAATAAATTTACGGAAAAAGCAACAGAACCTAGAAACACTTAAAAATTCCCTAAAAGTCAAATTCAAAGTTATCATGAGTTTTGGTTTATTTTGAATCTAAATTTTTTTTATTTTGTAAAAACCTATATTAATCCAAATGTTTTACGGTTTGGGGAATATAAGATGACGTATTTTTATTTTAAAAAGCCTAATCTGTCAAAATGGCATATATTGTGACGTTAAAATATGATAGATAACTTGGGTCTTGCCACCTTGATTCATAATCAAGGTGGACCGATTTGGTGGAAAAAAGATTGTGATTTTTGTAATTATTTATTACATCAAGATTAAGTCGGAAAGTCGTGTTTAACATAATAAATTATACGTTTATTTAGCGATCGATTGAGATCAAATTCCTAATTGAAAGTAAATAAAAAGTTGGTCGCCTTTTTTGGATAACTGTTGCTCTTTTAAACACTTATTATATTGGGCTCATTGATTTGACATATTATGTCAGCTTTAAAGGGTCAAGACCAACCTCCTAAAAAGGTTTTTAGGAGCACGGGGACTTGTGAGGGTCTAACTTTTTGTATCCTTCCTGGGAACAAACTACCCTCTCCTTTAAAGACACAATATGTACACAATACTCTTTTATTTTCGGAACTTCAGCGTCTCCATTGTCTGTACTGGGAACTCCCAGTCATCGTGCCCTTTAAATCACCATTTGTCTCATCTACTACGTATATATTCTTTCATAATTTCTTAATTTATTAAAATCACTTCACTTCCTATGTCTAAATCAGGACTTTTTTCATTTACTTCTTCTATTTCCTGGATCATAACTTCTGCCACGACTTGATCATCAAAAGCGTTGCTTACTTCACCAGCAGATGTCTTGGCGAGTTCATTAGGTTGGTAAACTAAAGCTACTATTACTATTACTTCTCTTTCAATTTCTTCAGACGCGTTATCACTACTTTTTTCAGTACTTGTATCGTCTACTTCCCCACTCTTAATGTGGTCACTGTGAAAATCTTTATTTTTTTCTTATATATCATTAGATATGAGCGCCGATGGTCAATCTGTTGGCGGCGGCGCGCCGGCTTTTAGAAGTCGGTGACGTGACCTTCATAAACTACCTTAATTTAAGAGAAGAAATAAAACAAAAATTTACGTATAATTAAAATTTATTATCATTTTGAAGTGACAAATTGAATTGACAAGATAAAATATAAAAGAGAAAACAAAATTAAAAGTCTGATATTCAGTAACATAGCTGTAAATCAATAGGAAATTAAGAACATAAAGCCCGCTTTAATTACGTTATTAATAAAATAAAAAATCAACAACAATCAACAGTATCTTTTCATCTCCAGCTCAAGGTACTATCATAAAAACATTATTCAAAACTAACGAAGCCATTAGAACATAGGTTCAGTTAGTTAAAAGATGAAATACTAATTAAATTAAAATGTCGGTTTCTCTTTGAAATGGCTATAGCTGTCATGAATATTATTCGGTTTGTTCTTAGGAGATTTAATCGAGGCCGTTTTAAGGTTATTACCTGCCCTGCAACACAGAAAACTCTTTCGCTTGGGGTAATTGTCGCCGGTACAAACAATATTACTCGAGCCAAAGTTGACAGCCATGGAAAGGAAATCTTTCTCTTTCCAGAACATGAATACATCACCATCATAGGGCTGAAGATATTTGACACTAGCTGTGCTAAATTACTTCCAGTGTTTATTTTCAACCACGCTGTCTATATCACTAGATGTACTGCTGTGCTTCTCAACCAAATACATCAAAAAATTTAACGACGTAGGGGCGGAACTCGGTCCAGGTGTTGCATCTCTTGCTGGGTCAAAAACATCCTCCTCTTTCAAAATATTTTTTTTTTAATTTCACAAAAATGCTACCTTATTGGTGTGTTGGCTTTCCATGTAAATGTCGATTTCCTTAATTGATTGAAACCTACAATCCGATAAAGTAGCCGCCACAATAGTGTCTGTAACAGGAAAGCGATGGTCCAAACGTTGCAACATGTTATTTTTTAGTCTAGTGACTATGACAGGTTCATCGTCGTTATTTATTTATTTAATCTTTTCTGTTGACACCTTAATAACAAGGATAGCAAAGAGCGGACTTAATGCCTAGTGGCATTCTCTGCCAGTGAACCCGTGGAGTGATGACATTTTGTGGCAGGTGCAAATACACACACACATATATATATATATATATATATATATATATATATATATATATATATATATATATATACATACTAAGATATACATATAATATACAAAAAACTTTACATATGTAAATATATGAACAAAATATGTATCATACATAGATATAATATATATGCGTTACATATAATAAAATACATATATTGAAATTACAAATAATAAAACATCTAAATGTGTCAAAATATATCATCATCATTCTTAACATCCAACATCACTTCTTTTCAAAATAAAAGTCGTCTACCAACTTTTTAAAACAATCCTTACTTGGCGCTCTTCTTATGTTTTCGGGAAATGAGTTCCAGAGTAGTGTTGCCTGAATAGTAAAGGAATTGTTGGTGAATCCAGTGAAAGGAGATGGAATACTGATTTTATGATTAGATGAGGAGCGAAAAACCTTATCATGAGTTGAAAAGAGATATTGGAATTTCGTCGTTGTATTCTTCTAGCAACCTTCTAATTTCTGATTTAAAAACCAATGCTAAATTAATAGTGATTCAGAACTTAAACATTCCACTGACGTCTTGAATTTATCAGAGAACGATGTCAAGCTAGTAATTTAATTGTACTCGTTCTCATCTATTAATGTGTCTGCTATTTGCACTGCGGCTAATGCTTGTTAACATCATAAGCATGCTGTGCCATCTCGTTGCTGTACCCGTCTTTATAGTAGGAGGGGCGCTGGTTCCAGATCTTGTCGAAACCTCATCTAGATCAAAATCATTCGACGAAGCTTCGTCATCCGAGTGGTTTATATTTACACCAATATCTTCAAAAGATAAGAGCAGGTCACGTTGTTCTTTGCTGGCAGCGGCTTCTAGTAGTGGAGCTCTATACCTCAAGTGTTTGACTATTTTCTTACATATTTATTAATAAGACAAAGAACCGCATCAGTGTTCTGAATACCATCTACGGTGACAAGATTATGCAAAGCATGGCCCAGGCAAAGATGATTTTTCATATTAAATAAATCAGCAGCTATTTTCATATTACTGCCAGAGTAGGCCACAAGGACAATATCTTATTGTGGAATCTGAAATGTCCGCAAAATACCTTGAATTTCGTCTCTTAATCTTTTCACCTGTATATTTTCCAATAACTTGGTGGGTGGTAGCTAACGTGAATTTCAACAGTTCATCTCATGAGAAATAAAATGGAAAGTGCAGGTTATATAATTGCGACGTCTAAATTGGTCTGTCCACAAATCTGTTGTTAATGCACCAAATCTTATATTTTGTTTTTTAACCCTTGACCACTTAGCATACATTTTTGTTACACTACCACCTGCCATAGGTCTGTGGGACCCAGTTCTAAAGTTCATCTAACGTTTTAAAATAAATGTATGGTTTATTTTTTAATTATAAATCGTTTCAATATTTCTTAAATTCTTTATTACAACATGAACAGCACAGAAAATACTTAAATTATAAAAAATGTCTTCCATAATCAATCAACATCTCTTACTTGCATATAAACTAACATATTTGGTATATGAGATCTCCAAAAATAATCACATTTTATAGGAAACTTTTAATGCTCTTTTCTAATTACTAAATAATAACGTTGCAGTTTCATATTATTGACACGACGGTTCATATGCGGTCTCGTTAGTTGTTCAGCTAGTTTCATCATAAACTTTAATCTGCTTTCAATCTTCAGTTCTTCGGGTTGGACTGATAAGTTCACGACGTAACAGTTTGAAGCTGAATGGCAAGAAGTTAATAAAATACTGCCAAGGGCCATCTGCGAGTTCGACATGCAGTAGAATAATTCGAAAGTCTCTGGTCTAGAAGATCCACTCCGTATTTCGTAGTGTTGTAGAAAAGTATAATTTCTGGCTTTTGAGTAGATTCATCAATATCTGGCGTGTGGTGTATACTTGAAATTGTAATTACTGCTTTATTTTGTTTTGGAACATACGATGAAATAGTAAAATCTTTTGTAAATCCAAAAAGTGTGGAATCAATGTTTCTGTGGCGAGAAGGCAAAAATTCTGGAGGGATTTCTCTTTGATTTTGTTTCTCGTTGAAGTGTGCCCGCGCCCGTCAACTGTTTCTTTTTAGTGAGTCTAAGAGCACCAATGTGTACCAATTATCAGTTGTGACATTTACTGTTGGAACCCGCAATTGGAGGAATGAGATGCATAACCACTTTAGTTGGTTTCTTTGAATGCTGACATTCAGCTGGTAAGTTAAGTCCATCAGAATCTTTGCCTTTGTATAAATAGGCATTGAGTAAGTAGCCGGATCTTGCATCTGTAAGACATTGAATTTTTATCCCGTACTTAGCTGGCTTCTTTGGCATGAATACTTTAAACCAGCATCGTCCCCGGAACGCAACCAACATCTCATCAATACATGTGTAACTGCCGATTACATAAATAGCCTGGCAACGGAAAATAAAAGAATCAAAGAGATCAGTTATAGGTGCAGCTGCATCAACTTCACGTCGGGCCTGTCTGGTCGCTGCGTCGTCAAAACGTATTGAATTTAGTAATACTTTGAGCATATTTTTACTCCTAATGCAGCGGTAAATTTCCCGACTATAGTCGTATTTTTAATTAGACGAAGTCAACTGACGTTTACTGTGTTGTCAGTTTTTGATGAAATAAAAATAGTGTTGTGACAAAGTGAATGATTGAAAAACTCCTGAATTAATGAAATTGCCTCGATTGTCTAGTGAATAGTTAGTGTGCTGAACTGCCGATATCGGGTACGGGGTTCGAATTTTAGTCGTGCTTTGTACATACCAACGAGTTTTCGACGTGTGTTTTAAACATTAAGGAAAATATTGCGAGGAAACTTGTAAGACTGTCCTATTTTCAATACATCATGTAGTTGAAACTATAGATGTATAAAATATAACAATTATAGGTAGGTAATGAGAATAAAAAAAATCGCTTATTACATAATTTGTTTTTATTCATTATCAGATAAAAAATCATCACTATCGCTTTCGGTGACATTAATTAAAAATCTGTCAGTAACATTGTCAATCATGTGGTCGAGACCATACATTTTGTCTTCTTTTTTAATTATATGAGACACGCAGCTATTCCATTTTTCAGGTGTGATATGTTGAAGTCCTTCTTCAAAAAGTTTTTTTACTTCTGTCATTTTGAAGGTTTTGTTATTTCTTGCAACATATCCTTTAGCCTGCGCCCATACCAACTCAATGGGATTGAGCTCACAGTGGTATGGGGGCAGACGTAAAACAATTATCCCATGCTGCGCTGCCATCTCGTCCACAACATACTTATCGCAATGTTCTTGCTTGTGCTGCCGTACAATGTCTATAAGAGTAGCTTTAACCATTGTTGCTTCGAATGAAATATTTTTGCTCGTTAGCCACTCTAGTATTCTAGGTTTAGTCCAAGACATTTTAGGCAGCGATTCTAGTTTCCTGGAGTGGTAGGGGGCATTATCCATCACTACTACGGAATTTGGTTTTAGTTTTGGCAAGACCCCCCTAAACCACTTCTCAAAGGAATCGGCATTCATCTCTTGATGATAATCTTCTTTATTTTTTTTGGCTTCAAATATTAATAAGCTGTCTTCTACGAATCCTTCTTCCCCGCCTATATGGCCGATAATTAATCGTTTGCCCTTTCCTGAAGGCTGTTTTAAGCCAGTGGTCAAGCCATCTAGGAAGGCCTGGCGGGACGATAACACTGTCTGGTCAATCCATGCCTTCTTCGGTGCATGACCTTCAAGATAGTGAAAAATATCAATTAATTATTGAAAGTACAATTTAATGTAAAGAAAACAGAAAATTGTAATTACCTTCGTTGATCCAGGTTTCATCTTGGTAATAAATATACCTTCCTTCCCTTCGATACTCTTTAATTTTTCGAAGGTATCGCTGGCGCCATAGAATAATGTCCTGTCTGTCAATTAAAATGCTGTGTCTTGATTTTGTGACATATTTGAAATTTAAATGTTTCATAACATTTCTTAATGTACTCCAAGAAAAATTGGGTAAGTCTGGGTCTTCATTGACAACCTTAAGAATCTGTAAAGTAATAAAAATATGTTTTGAGTAAGGAAGTCTACGCAATCTAATACTTTGGTTTTACAAATAACATTATGGTGGACACAGAATATAATGCAGTAGAAGGAATAAAGTTTAAGTTACCTTTATAATGGTGGGTGACTCATTTGCATAAAAAAAATTATGTACTTTTCGCCTTATAGCGGCAAAAGTAAAATCGTCTAATTTATCTTTGAAACTGTGTTTCGGTCCACGTTTCTCGGGAGACTTAAATTGTTCATTTTCTTTGCATTCTTTTAACACACTGTAAACTGAGGTCACACCAATTCCCAAAATGTCAGCTGTTTTCGAAACACATTCTTTTTTTTCGGGGGCCTCAATAGGTAATAGTGAAGCAGCTTTTTCCTCAAATACGTGTTTGTAGACGTTTTGTATCATAAGTTTTTCGGTAACGCTTAAAGCAATCCGTGGTCTCTTCTTTCTTGGAGACAAGCTTTGGCTTGACGTGCTTGGTTGAGGATCCATATCATTTGTACGAAACAATATAGCAACAAATAAACACAACAATTACCACAAACACAACGTAACGAAAAACTTAACAAAAACAATAACTAAACAGCGTGAGCGCAGAAAAAACATTCGTGCTATCAGACCAGAGGTTAGAAGCCGAATAACAAACAAAATGGCGACCGACGCGCGCGGCGTTGATCGGTGTTGGCAGTAGTCGCCGCGCCGCGCTTTGTAATAAAACCTCAAAAAAACTGATTGTAGTTACATACTACTAGTAACTTATATCAGAGCACTTTTATACAATTTTATTGTAAAATAGAAATAATATTCTTTTATAGTTTGAAATGATTAACTATACACACTCATTGTTCATTCATCTGATTGAACGAGAACTGAACGCATCACTATTACTTTAAATATGGCAACATTATTTTACAAAGTGACATTAGCTACTGTCAGTTGGCTTCGTCTAATTAAAAATACGACTTATAGTGCCGTTTGTACAATACCATGACGTGTAGTCCTCGTGGTTTTCTTTCTTTTAAGATTGTCGTATAAAACAGGAATTCAATAAATGCCTTCAATTCAATGAGGTCTAAATCCATGAACATAGGTTTTATTTTGATAGTTCGGCCTTATATCATTTATCTTCACGTTAGTGTTTACAACAATTTTTTCAAGCATTTCATCTGTAATCAAGTTTTGCCAAATATCTAGCGGAGAGATATGTTGACCTTACACCAAGTGGTTCTTGCACAATATTATGATGTAACGTTCGCGATCGAAGGGAAGGAGGTACGGAAGACCATAACTAAACATGATTCAAGTCTACTTCACAATCCACGTCCGCTACATTCATCGTTTGGTATGTTTTCTTCATGTGATAGATTTTCTTCTAACCACCGCTCAATATTTAAGTCGTTAGAACCCATTTTGTACCTAAACAACAAAAATACCCTTATTAAAAAAAAATCACACAACCACCTATCAGAGGTCTCCAAGACTACAAGCGAAAGTAAGTTACTCACCAGAGACAAACGAACGTGCGTCCAACCTCGACGAGCCGTTGAGCGGTACTGAGGAGGGTAGGGAAAAGGTACATGTACCGACAAGTTCATACGCGACTCGGGCGCAACAATATTTACGATCATAAATTCCACAAGATCTGTGAGGCATAGTAGGTGATGAAGGGTTAATAATACTCTGTACATATATTAACATACTGTTATATACTTCTAACCCCTCTCGAGCAATATTATGCCGTGAGAGTGTAGATCGTCATTAGCCACAATATTATTATATTTTTTAAAAAATCAATCATGTCTTCATCATTTATGCTGTCGAATGGCAATAGTGATCTGGCGAACCATAGAGCCAAATCGCGCGCTGGCATCCACTTGTCTTTTTTTCTACCAGGTTCACCACTTATTCCTACAATACCTTAGATAAAATAAAAAAAACAAAATCCCAATAAAACCGTAATATACCAACCTCACGGAATTAAAGAGCAATGTAATATAGTAATTACATAGCTAGGCAATTAAAAATGAATCGCTAATTGCAAAAGTGACACATGTCCCTACATGTAAAATATTCAGGAGAGACAAAAAACTGTTTTATTTTTGTATTAATCAAAATAAAATATTTATTTTTTAGGGTCATTTATATTGAAATTGCTATGAGAAAATATAAAGTTTTCTTTTTAATGACTAAATGTAAACTAAATTTAGTTGATTAGTAAATTGCCAAAAGAAAACATGGACATGTTCCCTTTTTGCTATTAACATAGGACATGAGTCCTTTATTCAGCGAAATTTATATTTTTCATACAAAAATTAATAGAAAAATTAAACAAGGAATATTTCAAATAATGTTTATTTTCTAAGCATACATCGCTGTTTAAAATTAACTGTGAGCTTACATGGGTATGTACAGATTAATTACGCATTCTACTATTCCTTTCCATATGATTTTCAGTTGGCCATTCATAAAGTTCATTCCGGAAAGTGTTATATTTTAAAGGAATATAAACTTTAAGTTTTTTTTTAAATCTTCCATTTTACATTCCAGTAGAGGTATTTTATTATGATAAAGTTTTTGTGAAGGCAAACTCACTGGAATTGTGGCAGGTTTTCTCAAATGAAAACAATGAGGCCACCAATAAATTCTTTAGTTTTAACTACTTTTGGTTCCTTGTCATTAAATTCAAAATAGTGGTATTTTGATATTGTGAATGGAATTGAGCCTGAGTTACCTCAAGCTTCTGATTTTTTTTTTATTATAAAACTTAGGGTACCAATTTTGGACATCATTGATAACTGAAGAATCTGCCAAAAACAGTATACTTATCTTTAATATTGGATGACTTCATTATTACTTCTTGCACATACTCATCTACTGTGTAAAGTCTGTCAAATTCTTTTAATGAGACCAAATGCTCGGTCACAAGGCAAAAATGAGTGGCCACGTTGAGGAAAAATGCAGTTTAATTTTTTTTTAACTTAGTACTATCAAACTCACCAGCATTCATATAAGTGCGTGGTTTTTATTTTGGCCCCAGCAATTGTCACAAAAAAGGTGTACCTCTTCTACTTTAGGGTCTAAAAAATTCTTTAAACAATGTAAAAAGAAACGAAGAGACATTATCAGGTGTTTTCCTTGCCATTCCTTCATGAAATACATAGCAAGTCGTCCTGTCATTTCCTTTATTATAAATACCAAAGGTGTTCACACCAAGCTGACGGAAATAATATACTTCTTGTACAGGTATCTTCAGTAAGTCTAACACAGCCATAAAATTAAAGCAAATCGCAGCATTTTTTTTATTTTTCTTGGCTAAAACTGTTTCCATAGTGGAATAGAATTTTTTACTTCTATTTTTATGAACTAAAAGTTCTGCAACTGAAACTCGTTTGGCCACTTCATTCAAATTATCACTTTTAATTTTTGCTTTTAACTCATCGCACTTTGAGCAAGTATCTTTTGCAGGTTTTCCAAATGTTAAAGAGAAATTTCTTTTGAAATATTGCCAATAGAATGTGTATAGAACTTTGTCTTTCAGGTCAGGGTACTTATCGATAAAACATCTGTACATTTTTTTAACATTTAAATTAGCACTCAGATAAAAGTATGATCGCGTAGTGTAGTGGGATTTGCGAACTGGAAATGATTTGATATACTCATCTATTCTTTGTATGATTGGAAATGATTTGCAGGGCATTGTATTAATACTGCTTTTCTTGCCTCTACCATCTACAGGCACGACATGTTTTTCTAAATTCGTTATTCTTCTCACCCTTTTGCTAGTGATGTTGTGAGCATTAATAAATGCCTTTTTACAAACATGAGTTCGTATTGCGCCAAGCAATAAGTAATATTTGAAATTCGTTGATTTTGGCTTCCGATTGCAGCGATTCCAGCATATCAGCACGTGCTCGTGATCTTGAAGTTGGTGCTATTTTTATCATTCTTTGTAAGTGTAGGTCTCGTTCATCTTTGGATATATAAAACTGAAGAAGGACATCGTGCAACAGCTCACAACAGCCTTTGCAACTGGAAATAAAAGATTAAATTATAATACAATATAACAAAATATCATATTCACAAGAATATCATATCATAAATACCAGTTTTTGTTGATAAAATCAGGATCATTTTTGGCGGGCACGCGTTTGCCGGCAAAATTTGTGTGACTTTCACCCAAAATTTTTGCCTCCTTTATATTTTTCGTGGTTGGAAATGTTTTTACCTAACCATATTAGCAATGTTAAATAGAAACATATTATGTATATTAAAAAAAAATCTAATTCACTTTAAAACGAAACTTGATGGCGTCATCTACGCAATTCTATAACCCTTATTCAAACTCGAGATTGTGGAGGAGTTAACAAAAAAGTAAGATCCATTCCTGGGTAATTTTGGGCCATAGAGTTAAAAAATAAACAGAAAAGGGGGGGGGGGAATGGAAGGAAGTAACCTTTTTATGGGGGGGGGGAACCGATATCTGTTTCTGCCCTGGTCCAAAATGGTAAAAGTGGGAACTATAGCTTCCATTGTCCTATATGACATAAATTAAATAACACTAGTTATTTGCCCTTGGTTCACTTGTGAAACTAAGGGAAGAACTCCGAAATTGAAAACAAAATAGACTTCCCCGTACATTTTAGTTGAGTATGTAATTTTGTATGCAGTAACTAATTTAACTTTAGTCAAAGTTACTTGTATTGGTGAGTACTTAAATCTTTCGGCTCTCGGGTAATTAATAAAACATATTATTATTATAGAAGTTTTCTTTATTAATATATATTTAGAAACTAATCTTATTAAGTGTTAGGAACTCTTTTTATCACGTTAATCAGACTATCCTCTTCAGTGTCTTTTATTTCTCATTTTATAAAGTTATTCTAGGCTATTCTGGCACGGTGCATGTGGAGCACATAATTTTTTTTCCTTTCTCCTGGTTTTTGTACTGCTGAACCGGCATCTCTTATGTTACTTTCTTAGGGCATGTGTATACCTACATTCAATAATCGATTTTCTTTCGGCACTGCGAATACCCCCTTGTAAAGGGTATGCTTGGGTGTGATTTTTTGAAAATAATTGTTATGTGTGAATCATGGATGTTACTTAGGTCATATTTTACACATTCGCGAATGCGAATTTTCGGGATGCGAATGTGCGAATGCGAATGTGAATGTTTGGGAGTAACATTAAAAAAAAACTTTAATCAACTTGAGTCATCATTCTTATTTCTTATAATAGGAATATGAAAACATATTGGAACAGTAAACCAGTGTTACACAGTAAATATATCTAAGTCAAAATTCAAAAGAGGGATGTTATATTTCAGAAAAAGTAATTTTGCCGCCTTTTCGCCTATGAGACGATTTCTAAGAGGCTCGTATATAAGGCCGGCTGCTCTGAACAATTGCTCACTCGGAACGCTGACCGGTGGAGCGCACAGATATTTGCGGGCCAGATCTGTCAATTTGTCGTATTTTAATTTACTTTTCCATTAGTCGAGAGGGTTTTCATCGAGAGAGGCTTGTTTTTCTTTAAGATAGACCTGCAGTTGAGCTTTAATTTCACATTTTTAGTGTCTCCAGATTCTACATCCGAGCCTTCGTTTTTGCTTGAAGAATCTAGAATTCCTGCCAGGTTGCTTATAAGACTTTTAGCAGAACTTGTTGAAGGCTCATTAATATTGCTTGATATATTACTCAACCTTTTAGCGCCTGAAGCTAAACGCCGATTTTTATCACCATCCCGGTTAGATAGACCTAGAGCCAATTCCACAATATCAGAGTGGACTTTATCTTTCACAATATCACTGAACAGTTTATGCTTGTATCGTGGGTCCAGAAATGTGGAGATTGTGAACAAAGAATCAATCACCAGGTTGCCAAACTTCTTGTTTATTTCGGTTTTAATAACTTGTATAAAGCTGATAATAATGTTATCAACGGTGTCGCCTTCAGTAGGTATCTTTGTGTCATCGAGACCTTTCAACGTGTAAATAATCGGAATCACGGACGGAATTAAAGCGCTTGAGCTGCTCAAGTTGCGTGTACGAGGGCGGCACTGAAAATTTCGGGAATCAAGGAAATGACACAACATTACTATTTAAAAATGTATTTATTGCTTTTCGAAGTATTCTCCGCGAAATTTGACACATTTTTCCATACGATGGAACCAATCATTGAAGCAACCATTCCATTCGGAAGTTGGTATCTCCAAAATGGCCGTTTTGTAGGCGTACACAGCTTTTTCATGTGATGAAAATCTCTGTCCACGCAATTTATTCTTTATTTTAGGGAAAGTATAGAAATCATTAGGGCTTAGATCGGGGCTGTACGGCGGATGGTCTAATAATTCTATGTTTTCTTGCTCTAAAAACTCTTTTGTTCTGTGTGCGGTGTGAGAACTCGCATTGTCGTGATGGAGGATGATGCGGCGGTTGCAGTTCTCTTTACGGAGTTCAGAAACGACCTGTGGCAAA